GACGATGGTCGCGTACCTGATACTCAGAACCACCAAACGGTATTCGCTGAAGGTCATACAGGTTTACGCAGCAACTTCGGCACATCCTGATGAGAAGATGGAGGAAATTTATGAGGATATTTCCAGAGCCATGCATTCTTCCAAAACCCACTACACGGTGTTGATGGGAGACTTCAACGCAAAACTAGGCACAAGAGAAAGCGGTGAGCTGAAGGTAGGGAAATTTGGAGTAGGGCAACGGAACCGAAGGAGCTAGTAGCTGGCCGACTTTATGGAGAAAGAGGGACTCTTTATGATGAACTCTTTCTTCCAGAAGCGGTCCCACAGGAAGTGGACCTGGTCGAGCCCTGATGGTTCGACAAAAAATGAGATTGACTTTACTATGACGACCAGACGCCAACTGTTAAGTGATATCTCAGTGATCGCAAGGGTGAAGACTGGCAGCGATCACCGAATGGTTAGAGGCACACTGAACCTAAACGTTAAGTTGGAGAGGTCTCGTCTAATGAAGTCAACGCTCCGTCCACCTCATGCTCTAATTCAGAATCCCGAAACCTTTCAGCTCGAGTTACGTAACCGTTTTCAGTGCCTAGAATATTGCAATGCAGTGGACGATATGAGTGACAAGCTCGTGGAAACTGTCCATACGATCGAAGCTAAGTTCTGCAAGACCCGCTGAATAAGGACACAAAAACTCTTCGATCACACTCTTAATCTCATGGCTTTTAGACGGGAGATGAGGCTGCAATCGTCAACAGATTTGACTGCATACAGGTTACTGAACAGACAGATCTCCAAATGCATGCGGCAAGACTTACGCAACTTTAATACTGCTCGTATTAAAGAAGCGATCGAGCGGAACCAGGGCTCCAAAGTTTTTGCCAGAGATCTGTCTGCCAGAAAGAGCCAACTGTCAAAGCTGAAGACTGAGTGTGGCAACATCGTTTCCGGGACACCTGAGATTCTATGTGAGATTGAGAGGTTCTATGGGCAGCTGTAAACATCATCGTTGGAGCCACACGCAAGTGTGAGTAACGATCCAAGAGCAAGTCTTATCCGACACTATACCGATGATATCACGGACGTTATTCTGAGCGAGATTAGAATGGCTCTCCACCACCTTAAAAACGGCAAGGCCCCGGGCGAGGATGGAATTACAGCGGAGCTTCTGAAAGCGGGTAGAACACCGGTACTTGAAGTCCTTCAGAAGCTCTTCAATTCCGTCCTCTATGGTGCCACTACTCCAGAGGCGTCGAGCAGAAGCACGGTGGTCTTGTTCCTTAAGAAAGGCGACAACGCTCTCTTGAAGAAATACAGACCGATTTCCCTTCTGAGCCGCATCTACATGCTATTTTGGAGAGTCATTATGAATCGTCTCGCACGCAGACTCAACGACTTCCAGCCTCCCGAACAAGCCGGTTTCCGAAAAGGCTTCAGTACCATAGACCACATACATACACTGCGGCAGATTGTACAAAAAACCGAAGAGTACAAACTACAACTTTGCCTGGCGTATGTGGACTATGAGAAAGCCTTTGATTCCGTCGAAATTTGGGCGGTGCTACAGTCTCTTCAGCGGTGCCAAGTTGACTGTCGGTATACCGAAGAGCTGAAGTGTTTGTACAGTAGGGCTACGATGGCTATCCGAGTACAGAATCAGAGCTCGAAACCTATCCAACTGCAGAGAAGTGTAAGACAGGGTGATGTTATATCCCCAAAACTCTTCACCGCTGCGTTGGAAGACGTTTTCAAGCTACTGGACTGGAAAGGATACGGTATTAACATCAATGGCGAGTACATTACTCACCTTCGATTTGCCGACGATATAGTCCGTATGGCAGAATCGCTGGAGGACCTTAGCACTATGCTCAATGACCTCAATGGTGTCTCCCAACGGATAGGTCTTAAGATGAACATGGACAAAACAAAGATCATGTTTAATGTCTATGTCACACCTATTCCGGTAATTGATGCGAGCACTATGCTTGAAGTTGTTGACAAGTACGTTTACCTGACCAAAAAATTTTTTAATCATCATCACGTGACCATCTCTGAACATAGACCCCCAAGGAACGCCACAAAGCACAGATCTGAGCTATCTGCATGTATCGACTTCCTGAATCTCTTATCTGGTCGTCATTTTATCTATTTTATGTTTTGTATATATAAAACACGGGAAAATCCTAGTGTTGGCGAGGTGCATTCTCAAGTTCTCCATAAAAAAAATTTCCATAAGTTTCAAAATCATAAAAAAGGTAAAACCCCTTGGTTTTCAATGTGTGAAAACTTGATATATCCGTTGTTGCTTGTGCGGCAGGTACTCGCATAGGCATTTTCCTATCGGAAAAGTTGCCTTAAGATTTATAAAAAACTTTTGACATTTTATTTAGGTCACGATATTACTGCAATCAGTAGGTGCCCTTATAGGGCAAATATACGCTTAGGCATTTTCCTATTGGAAAAAGTATTAAGCTAAACAAGAGGTAAAACATTTGTATAACCGACTTCAAATGAGAACATCATCTATACAGTCAAAGTCAACTGACTTCTACTACACTTGTCACATTTACTGATCACATGAAAAGTACCAGCTTTCAAATAAAGAAAGAATCATCGAAATCAGTTCACTTAGAAAAAAGTTCTGAAGTGAAAATACAGTCCATTTGAGAACCTCCTCCTTTTTTGAAGTCGGTTAAAAATATTATGGTTATGTCACAATATTATTACAAACGTCTAGTCGTTAAGTCTATCTCGTTTTTTCTTGAGGCTTCTTGGTAAAAAAACGAGTGAACAGTTTTAATGAAGGTGTAAATAAACCAAACTAAACACAAAATGGAAAGTATAAGACAGAAAAAAGTCAAGTTACAAAAGAGAAAATCACATGGACGGGGATAAGAAAATTAAGTTTCCACTAAATTAATTTAAAATTCAATATATAGCATAAAATTTTAATAAATTTAAATAACTGTTTGAAATAGCAATGACAAGTTCCAAGTGTTTTTTTCCATTCACCAACTCATTCACCAACTCATTTACTATTTAAAAAGCCAGTTTACATGCCACTAGAAAAAACGAAGTAAAATAAAGTTTGATTAACTTTTACCTTCTCCATACAGAACAAAGGGTTTGTCGGAGTCGTTCTTTATATAATTCGCAATAAATATAAGATCATCTTCTGTGCCGTGGAATACTTTAACAGAGTTATTGCACGCATGTAAATGTTGTAGAATCTCCGTAACAATTTGGCCTTGAGCACTACTGTCATCCTTACGCATTGCTCTGCAGTTTCTAAGAAAGTATTATAATATAAGAAAGATTTATTACGTGGTAGAGCCACGCTGCAGTTATATAAGTAGTATAGTTGTAGCACGAATGGGTCGGTTCGACCGGGGAAGGACTACGCTCTCACAGGATACCAGCGTAAAATAGTAGCTTAATGCTGCTGTGTTTCATATGGTGAGTGTAGATAACCGGGTATCCTTTTTACTGGAAACGAGGCATTCCATCTTGATCCTCACGGGTGACAATGCATGTGAATTTTGATTCATAATCGAGGATAAATGTAGATGTCTATGGGCCACAGCAACCACTTACCATCAGATGGACTGCGTGCTCGTTTGTCACCCTATCCCAATGCTATAAAAATATATTTAAAATTTGAATAAGGACACGACCAGAATATTAGCGGTGCGGTTATATGATTCTTTAATATCATTCCATAAGAATTCATTGTTCGAGATGGCCTCTCCCGGTGTAAGCAGGATCTTTGCCTTAATCGCAACGTCTGGCAGATTGATTAACGATTGTGGTATACCAGTTTTGCGCACCTTTGAAGCTCTTCTCTTTACCAGTCTGGGTATATTATGTATTTTTATTTTTTTATTTTTATTTAAAAATATTAGTAATCTTATTAATTAACATTATTAATATACCCCTTAACCACTCTTGGTAAGCTTGAAACGCTTGTGTTAGGGGTGGTTCACGACAGTATGTCGTCACGTATGGTTATATCACTGCAACTTAATGTTGAAGCAGATTCATTTTGTTGGTATATTGCATTAGTATAAAACCGTTTGAAAAATCAGAAAGTGCACGCCTCATGAGCGTTTTATTTAACGTTGGTAAAAAAAAATTGTACTCCTGACTTTCAAAATATATTATTTACGTGATTTAAATTTAGCGTTCTATCATTTAAACTGGTAGTGTTACCTACAGGGAAAAATTAATAATGTTTACCAAAGTAAATCGACTAAACAAAGTATAAAATCAATATAGGATGTATGTTACATTTATCCTTTGTCTATCAAGAGCTAAAACAATATAAAAGCGTCTTTAAATTTTTAATAGCAATAAAACTTATTAAAGTTGAAAATCATTTTATTTACAAACTACGCGTACTAGTCTATTGATATAAAATCGGGAAGCATTTGATGTAATTCTGAAGCTAATAAAAAAGGCCTGGTCACGATACGTCAATTTTTTCGTTAGTTATTCGGGACCACATACAAAATCAACATCCAGACGTCCACAAAATTATTTTTCAGGATGTTTATTTTTTAAAGTAGCAATATAAAGTAATTTTTTGGAAAATGTAAGATGGATTATTCATAAAGTTTTCTTGATATACGGCTACTCATATTATCGTATAAGTACAATGTGATTATGATAAGAGGCATTTTAAGAACACAAAATTGCTTGACCTTGACATGTCAAGAGTAAATCTTGATAACGCATCGAGTTATGAGGCGTGCAATATTCTGATTTTTCATATTGCAGGCCATGGAGAGGCTTACGTTCAGTAGTTGACTTGTGATGGACTGTAATGGTGAAGATGATGACGAGGATTTTATATAAGTGATATGATACAACAAATAAAAATACACATAGTGTATTAAATATATTTTAATAATAAAAATGCTAACAACTCTAATTAAACACAATCTAAATACAATCGAGTTGAGTACGACCTATCCCTGGTTGTAAGAGGGTCGCGCAGTAAATCAGTGTTGTGAGCGACCTTTTGTTGGTTGTACTGTAGCGTAGGGAATAACAGTGCTATTTTTGTTAAACCTTGATTTAATTTAATACTAATAACTATTTTAAAGGTAATTAATGCATATATTTTCCTCTCTCTAAATATTATTAATATGGATTTTCTGTACCGCTTGCATATAATAATAATAGTATTATTTTATTGAAATAGATATGAAAGCGACTTAGCAATTTGTCATTCATTACAGATTATCAATCTATTGCTGAAATGAAATGAATGAAGTGAAATTAAATGAAATGTTTTTTTTAATGAATGTAATGAAATGAAATGAATAATTTTATTAAACATTCTATATACATTACTGATTACTGTATAATAATACTGTATAATACTTATTGAAAGTCATTTTTTTAATTATCACTGGTTTGCAAAAATAACCTCTGTCCTGGGAATATCCAGCAAGAAACCCAGCGGGATATTTTTTAAACATATTTCAATTTACAATAAATTTATTTTATACAATTTTTGTATCAATTTTTATAGAACCAGCATGGTGGCGATCACTTCATTTCCAGGGGTTATTTTCATTTATGTATTCATTTATATTACAATAACCCTTTTTATACAAATTTTCTTTAATAAATCGTTTAAATTTTTTTTTAATTTAATTTAATTTAATTTAAATTTTGTTCAATAAACACAGGCCTTCCTATATTTTTTACAGAATATGAATTACAAACGAGCACACATCACACATTCAACATCTTAATGGACACTTACATAAATCTTCGATTACGAATCAAAATACAGATTCGTTGTCATCCCGAGTATTAAGATGGATTGCCTTGTTTTCAGTAAAAAGGATCTCCGGTTTTCTACACTCACCACTTACAAAACTGTTATATAAGTGGTGAGTGTATATAGCATTAAGCTGTTATTTTACGCTGCTATTCTGTGAGAGAGTGGTCCTAACCAAGACGCGCCAACCTATTCGTGCTACAACTATAATACAGAAAGGGTTCGAAACCCGCATGTAACAAGTATTTGCAGGGCCTACAAATAATAATTGTTCCGGGCCTGGATGTTTGCTCTTGTAAAATTTATATATGTAAACTGCCCCCACGATACAGAAGACAATCTTAGTGTGGATATTACTTTATTTTACAAAAGAGAAAAAGAGATGCCGCGGTCAAAAATTTCATTATTTCTTAAATTCAAACGAACCTCTCAACGAGCTTGATAATATTTTTGTAGAAGTGTGATATAAATTGGTTAAGATATTCTCCACGAGTTTCCGTGTCAAGTCCATCGCGACCAATCCATTCAACAGTATACCTAAAAAAGATGGTTTATTATTAAATTTGTTAATCTATACATCTATATAATTAAATAAAATTGAAGTGTCGGTTTGTAATGACAAAATAATAGCTTTTTATTAAATAAATATGAACGTATATACGGTACTTATAATAAAAAAAAACTGTTTTTAAATCTTTTGTCTCTCTGTCTGTGTGTTTCGACAAATCTCTAACTTTCACTGGCGGATAGCTAATGTTATACGGAGTAATTTAGGCTACTTTTATTTAAGAAAAATAATTAAGGTTCTGCGCAAAACAATTGAAGCTCATGAGATCCAATCGTTATAAATTCCACGCGGATGAAAATAAAGAGATAAGAATAATACGATCATTACTTATGTCTTACGTTCTTTTGTTACGTTTTTTTAACTATATATTTCAATTCATATTTTGTAACAACATTAGGTTTTATGTTATTCCTTAATTAGCGAATTTTGAAATTTATTGTCACCAGCAGTAGTGTTGACATGACTAAGGAAACTTGTGAATAACTAATGATCTTTTTGGTCCCATTCCCTACCTTACTTCCCCATAAAAGACCAGCAATGCACCTGTTGTCTTGAGTAAGCTGTCAATTAACCATCAGTTGAGCCTTGCTCATTTCCTAAATAAATATTAAAATATTTATTTCAGTATGGACATATACCTCATACATCTACAAAAAAAGTTTTGTGTATTTTTTATGAAACCGAGATAGAACAAGTTGTGGTAATAAATATGAGAAGTGTACAAGAAATCGAACCTTGGCGGGATATGACGTCATAGTTAAACAGTCAGTGAATAAAATAACTAATTTAAAATTTACATTAGAAAAATAATATCAATAATTATTCGTCTATTAAAATGCTCAGCATGATATGGTGTTCCCAATTTAACACAAAACAGATTTTAAGCTGACTTTTTACTACTTACTTTTGTATGTTTGTTGTTTCAATTTTCTCTGGTAGCCTCACATCTCTTAGACCAGCCAATAGTTTGGAAGCTTCTGCATCTAAGCTCCTGTTAAGAATGTCCACGAAGTTGCCAGCTTTCTTTAGGTTCTGAAGGTTTATATTGTTGATGTACCAAACGTAAGCGAGACAATGATTTTTTGTGTTCTTAACGTTAAGAATTTCGTTGATAACTTCACGTTCAGTTACTGAAAGGATTAAACAATATCGGATAATTAAACGTCGTCGCTGGGGTGTAAGAGAAACTACTAATAACTACGTGGTAGAGCTACGCTGCAGCTATTATGGTTGTAGCATGAATGGGTCGACTCGACCGGGGAAGTACCACACTCAGACAGAATTCCAGCGTAAAATAACATTTTAATGCAACTGTGTTTCGTATGCATGCATCTTAGTCCTCAATGGTGACAACGTATCCGCATTTTGATTCTTAATCGAGGTTAAATGTAAATGTCTATGGGCCATAGCGTCCATTTACCATCAGGTGGACTATGTGCTCGTTTGTCACCCTTATCCTATTAAAAAAAACAACTAATATGTCGTTCAATGAATAACGTAAGAGGGGACAAAGGGAAATGAAACATGAGTTGAGCAGCAGTACTTTACTAATATGAACTAAAAAATAACAAAAACTACAGTTGACCGTAATTAGCAGTAGCCTTTAATAATAAAAAAACTGCTGTTGCCAATCTGCCCGTCAACTTAAATTAGCTCTATATAATCTTCTGAACATACTACAAAAGTACAAGCACTATTTCAGCTGCTATTTCGCACATAGATTTATTTATCTCGCCAAATAGAAGAGCTTTCACTGCAGCGTTACGCTTGAAAGAGTTAAGTAAGCCAGTATAATAACAAGGTGTGCGACGTTCTATCTTAGTGCTCAATGGTGGCTTCGTATTTCTCGTGTCCATGGGCTGCAGTAGCCACTCGCCATCAGGTGGAACGCAAGTTCGTTTGTCACCTCAGTTTTAATACAAGGTAGGGAGGGAGGTTCGGGGAATAAATAACATGTCTTGTGATCTTGACCGTAGATTTCATACCGACTTAATTGATCTATTGTACATTCACATGAGCATACATTACACGCTCCTCGAAAAAGAAAGAAAAAGAAATATTTGATTGTGAAAAAAAAACTAGGAACTACAACTACAATAAAAAAATAATGCTGCCAATCACTTGTTTGTAAAGTTTAGAGTTTACCGTTTTCGGTTGAATTCGAAAATTTTGAATTATCAGTTATTTCTCAGGGGCTTCCGTAAATCAGCAGGGTGCACATACTGAAGTACAGCTGACATTCGCCGAAAAAGTTGCTATTATAATTTCTTGTTAACAGACCAAGTCATTACATGAAATATTAGTGACCTGTAAATGGTATTAAAACCACATTACTAAACAATTTGATCCTTCGAGCCTGATATGGTATATCAAACTATGGAGCTTACTATTTAATAAATAATATTATGTCATAATTAAATAATTACCCGACATAAAATAGTTGTGCATGGTATCCTTGTCAATTTTGCCAGCATTTTATAACTGCTGTGAAGCTTTGCGGAATAGTTTTTGCATATTGTATTATACCGTAGTGTTGTTTATTTGTTGTGTAAATTCTTATTAATTTATTTAAGACTACATACTTAAACAATATAGTAGATGGGTCATCCTATTAAGC